CTTAAAATTGAAATTCACTTAGAATCCTCTTAGGATTATTCACTAACATGAGAAGAATTCAATCAATCTTTGACACATAATGGCATCGTACTGAAAATCACTGGTTGGTTAGATACTACATAAAAGCAACTCGTTTAATTAATCTTTGCACTTATTATCACAATCCTCATATTTGTTATAAAGGGCCAATATATTCCTCTGTGTTTAACTACAGCAGCAAACGTTTACTTGTGGTCCCATGATTCCCTGCGCGTGCAAAGTCAATGGCGGCACACAGTGATTGGTGGGACACTTTGATAATAGCACAACGTTGCACTCCGTACAAGGTTATTCCCTGAAATAGGAATTGTTTGGAATTCACCTGGAAATTGCAAATGTTGGTACAGAATGGCCGATTGGGAAATAATGCTGACTTGGGGGATTTTTCCAAATTGGCAAAAATGGGGGATTCCACAAAGAATTCCTGAAAGTGAATAAAAAGAGTTTAAAAAAACAAAACCCTAAAGCTGATCGCTAACGTTTATCTAACTATTAGACTGGTCCAATACCACCAGACTGACATTTCTATTTAAATATCAGACATTTAGAAGGGCTCTGCGTCTTACAATGATTACAGTAATCAACAAATGAACTGCAAATATTGCTCGAACACCCTCAAATCTGTCTCTTTTATACATCAGGCTGTATGGGGTTATACGAAATGCTATGCACTGAAAGGCACACTGTAACAATAGAAGTATAAACGTGTTCTAACGCTATATCTAGCGCTTTCCCTGTCTGTATACATTCCTGGCCCACACTAAAAGGTTCTATAAAGTAGTTTTACTCATCTTATATTCCATGCCGCACTTGTTCTGCAGTGACCACTGCTCCAATCTTACTGACATCATTACTGATAATCTTAGCCAATTCATTGGTTCCCTGTGGAGACTACTATGCATGTGTGGCATTTGCCATGCTATGCCAATCAGCAACTGCTCATAGATTGAGATCATGTAACTGCCAAATGTCAGTCCTGTACCAGGTGACAGCTGCTAGAGGTGATTATAGAAGGCAATATAAAAACTGAGGTCAGAAAATTCAGTGCTTCCAAATGATAGACTGCATAGACAGTCTGTTTGCACCAGAGCCACTACATGTATGTAGTGGTGATGCTGCTTAGTGTCTCTTTAAAGGTGGCAACGCATCATTGTTGTCTAAGGCAGTTGGAGTGATCTACCTTTTGCCCATTCCTACATTGGGTATAAAAGCACAGTGTATAATAGTTAAATGGTTAAATAATAATTTGATGATTGACATAACTGTGTAAGTTCGTATATCAACCTTGCTCAAAACATGCCAGGATAATATGTACATAGAGGCAAGCATTTTACATTTGAATATCACTGTTCCATAGACCTTGGATATTAACTAACAGCTCCCTGCTCATCTGGGGGTGAGGTGGTCTCGATTTGGTCTACATACTGGTCACTCCTACGTTGTTGTTGCGTTTTGTCCTTATGTTGTTGTGAGTCTCTTCTGCGCAGTGGGGGAGTAAGGTGCCAAAAGGAAAGGTGGGATAACAAGGTACGGAGGTGGTGGTGAGTCAACTGTGGTAGACATGGTATTTGATCAATAGGTCTCAGCCTCATTCTGTCGTTATTTTATGGAATGGTTTTAGATTGGGGGGCGGGGGAGGGATTTATGGGCCATCCATTCACCCCGACTCGGCTTTGGTGTGGTCCGCTTCCGTGCCTTCTTTAGCGTAATAGTCTACCCATGGTCGCCATACCTTCTGCAAGGTGTCATGGCGTGTGGCTGAATCTGCTGCCATGATTTCATGTGTGAAACAGGTGGGTCATTTTTAAGAGTTGTGTTTTAGAGGGGCAAATTAGTTGTTTCCAATGGAGAGTGATAAGGTGCATTGCTACCATGATAATGAGAGGGTCTGTCTGTTTGGTACTTGCAGATAAATGCTTTGGGAATTGCAACAGTAGGCACGTGTTTACATCAATGTTTAAGTCATGCGCGCCTATGTGTGACATTATCTGAGTGACTATAACCCATAGTTTGGCTATGGTTGGGCACGACCACCAGATGTGTCATGGTGCCTATGCTATCCCCGCATCTCCAACATAGGTCAGGGTTCTGAGGAAACACCTGGTGTAGCCTTTATGGTGTGAGGTACCACCTATAGATTAATTTCCTGTGTGCCTCTATATGCGAGTAGCACCTGGCAACCCCTTTCAATGCGTTAAGCGCTGAGGCCCACTCCTCGGGCGTCAGCTTGCAGCCAAGCTCCCTCGACCATTGTTTAGCAAATGGGAATTCTGTGTCTGGTTGCCCTGCCATCAGGGCTTGATAGCAGTCTGAGAGGGATTTGGGTTTCTTAGGTGAGGACCAACCTCTCTGGAGGATATTTGTCTCATCAGATGCCACCAGGCTCATGCCAGTGTCCGTTAGGACATAGAACAGAGTTGTACTCTTTAGTTGAAGGTATTGAAAAATTTACGAGTTAGGTAAGTTATCTTTGCTTTGTAATTCTGGGAAGGGGGCAATACGACCTTAGGTGTAGATGTCGTCTATATATTTTATACCTTTTTGAAGCCATGAGTGAAACGTAAACCAAGGGATATCCCTGACAGAGCTGTGATTGGGGCTTTTTGGTGGAATTTATTGCTATCACCCACTAGTAATGGTCCCACTGGAGTATGGAAAGTTGTGAGGTTGGGTGTAGTGGTATATTCTTACGGTGTTTTGGTGTCCACATGATATCTGTTAGTGAGGTGCCTGAATCCGTGAGTTTTCTGTGTCAACCCACTGAAGGTAATTTTTGGGGGCGTGCATCCTAATTGCTGACTCTAACAAAGAGGCCTTATTGTGACTAGAGCAATCTCGCCACATTGCATTGGAGAAGCCTGGTTGCTCGCCTGCTGCCTTTGGATTATGGCCCCATGTTAAAAGACCTCTTTTCCCCTGCAGAAAAGACTTATTCGTGCTTTTCTGCCCGGTGTTCAGTAGATTCAATCTACCGAACAACTGCACGAATGACTCGACCACCTGGGAGCTGGAGTGTGCCGGCAATTAGCCTCCCAGAAGCTGCGGTTAACGCACAGCGGTGTTCGACGCCTAACTCATGGAACTAAAAACGGACACAGTTGAAGCCGCCGACCTCCCTTCTTGTTCGGTGGAAGTACACGAACGGTCCGGTATTCGGTAGTTGTACCTGACTGCATTATACTCCAGATAGGAATCCCATGGAGCTCATTCGTATGAGAACTGACTTTGTAAAGACTTTGGCTCCATGGCGATTGAACTGTATTCGTGTGGTCTGAGCGCCATTCGCTTAATAATGTGCGCTCAGACCTGAGCTATCTGGGGATAGGTTAAATGTATGGTTTTCTTGTACCTTGTCTCACATAGGGTATTTTAATAGTAATTTCTATATTGGTATCCCCACGTGCATAATGGCGATTTGCCTTTGTCCTGGGAGATAATTGAATTACTTCTCAATTATCTCCAGGACAGAGGGGAGGAAGCCAGGGTGCATTGTGGGAATACAATGTGACTATGTGTCCTGTTTTTCTGATTGTCTGTCTTTTGTCACAGTCTCCCATTTGGTCCCCTAGGGGAGTGTCCACCAGGTGGGAGACCTGCATAAATACTGGGCAAGTAGCCCTCATTAAACAGACCACTGCTTGACCCACAACACGGAGCCTTGTCTCGTCTTTGGGGGGGATTTACTGAATGCTGATAGAGACTGATTGCTAGGAGTGTTAGCCACTTGGATGCTTTTCCTATTCGTCTGCTAGCAGCTATTCGTATGGTTCCAGTTCGTGGAACCATATTGTATGCAGTTCGGGAGATTGGAGCATTCCCTTATTTGCGGTTCGGGAGTTTGGTGTTCTACAGTAGCTGTGCCTGCATCTCTGGAAGGGGAAGATCTTCTAAATGGCAGTTTAACCCTTTTATGCCTGGGGGTGCCGTTACACCTATGATCTACAGTTACGTTAGGAAGCCCCACTCCACCTTTACAAGAGTGTTTTTGCATCAGGGCAAGCAATACTCGGGATCTGTGGAAGTCCCATATGAATTGATGACCAATTGGATACATTTTCTAAGGGAGGTTGGGGGATGCATGGGTAGCATGCGGAATGTGTACAGTAGTTTTGGCAATATAACCATTTTGGTAGTATTGACTGTACCCAGCCAAGAGAACTTAACTTTTTTTCCATTTTGCAATAGCAGAGGCACACATTTGTGGTAAAGTTTGGTAGCTCAGTTTGAAGGTTCCCTGTAGCGAAGGAGCTAGTTTGACCCTTAGGTATGTAGTACTAGATTTCCTCCAATCAAAAGAGTACTGTTGTGTGAGTTGTTGTACTGTTTGTGTCGGTATACCAACTGACAGGGCTTGGTTGAGCTTATAATATGAGGCAGTGCCATGGTATGAGTAGGTCTGTGAAATTGCTGTAGTAGACATTGGTGTAGATATGTGGGCCGGGGACTTTGTTGGCTGGGCGGTGTTTTATGGCCTCTGCTATTTCTGCTTCAGTGAAGGGAGCAGAAGTAATATTTAGTTCCTGTGGGTTTAGTTGTGGCAGCTGCACTGAGTGTAAGAAGTGTTGTATGGATTCTGTGGTGGGAGCGGAGTGAGAGGGTCATCTTTCAAGTTATATAGGGTGCTATAATATGTTGTGAATTTGTTAACTATGTCATTTGGGTGGAGGAGTTTGCCTTTTGAGGGTGAGTCAATATGAGAAAATTTGGAGTGTCATACGCACTTTCAGTTGGGAAGCTAGTAGGGCTTCTGCTTTGTTGCCCTGTGCAAAGAATCTGTGTTTGCATCTCCGGAGCATGAATGTAGTTTTGGCCAATTCCATCTCTTTTAGTTTAGTTTGTAGGCACCTTAATTTGGTTTGGGTTTCTGGTGAAGGATCTGATTTTTTTTTTTTTGGTCGGTTAGGTCTGCTAGTTCTAGACGTACCTCTGTGTATGCTATAGTTCGCTGTTTTTTAGCAAAACTAAACCTCCCACAGTCCCAATATATAGGACTCCCCTAGTCCATCATTGGTGGTGTGGTGGGTGTGTTCCCGCTCCGTTCCGGATTCATAATCATCTTCTCGGGCATCATCTGCATTGTGTTCTTTCCTGCTCAGCCGTTCTTCCTTCAACGTCACCGGAAATGACGTATGCGTTGCACGAGATCTTTTTGTGCGTTCCAAAGATAGTTGAACTTCCCCTGTGTCCATCGTGTAGATTGTGCATGCGTTATAGGCACACTTCGTTATTCATTTATGATAGTCCTCATTACAAGAAAAATCCTTATGAAAGTGACACTATGGGGAGAGAACTTCGTTAGAACTCCATTAAACATATTACCGTACTAGTGAAAAAAATTTAATCAATAATAAACAAAAATTATTAATGAAATCTTATTTTGTGATTAGGCATTATTCTAAGTGACCATGATATTTATTTTTTCTAATGCTTTAAATATTTAGCATTCAATAAAGTGTGTTAACCTCCTCTACTAGCAAACAAGAAAAAACTGTATCTATATAATTATATATAAACAAAAAAAGATTATTGAAGTCTTATTTTATGATTAAGAATTATTTTCAGTGAACATATTTGTTTTTTCGAATGCTTTGAATGTTTATCAATGGAGTGTGTTAACCACCTCTATTCGCAGACAAGAAAAAAAAAAAAAAAAATATATATATATATATATATATAATTTGCATATGCCCACCCAGAATCCTTTGCGGTTGTAACATCACTGCTGATTTGGGATTTCTGTGGGAAAAGCAAGTCTTATGGCTTGACTGGTGTGCAGATTTTTGTTTAGCATTGTATTAACTATCCACAAACTTCAGGTGGAAGGGGTTTTCAATCACAATTTTTCCCCACCATAACCTATTTGAATTTTGCTTCCCAAGCACTACCAAGCCTCACTAAGCAAACCAGTAACCAACCTCATGCTGAAGAGTTGCATTAACAACGAAACAGCTGTCCATGAGTGGTTCACTGGTTTTGCATCTTATCCTAAATTGTGTTCCAAGCAGTTGTATACTGCAAACACAAATTAAAAGGAATCCATGTTTAAAATGGAATGAGGCAAAAATGTGATTCTTTGTTAAACTAATTTGCATATGCCCACCCAGAATCCTTTGCGGTTGTAACATCACTGCTGATTTGGGATTTCTGTGGGAAAAGCAAGTCTTATGGCTTGACAGGTGTGCAGATTTTTGTTTAGCATTGTATTAATATATATATATATATATATATATATATATATATATATATATATATATATATATATATATATACACCTCTCAATACAAGATTACTATTTTATAACAATATGATTTTAAATTATAAATTACAATCCCACATACCAAAAATTAAAAGATAAAACTAACCTAATCAATACTATAGAAAGCAGACCAGATCTATGTCAACATTTAAACCCTTCGGCTCCAGTGTCTGTAGCTTGTGAATCCAGTAGGTTTCTCTTTGACAGAGTTTAAGTCTACCTCCGCCTCTCAAATGGGGCAGAATTTGTTCAATTCCCTTACAAATAATCTCTTTAAAATTGAAGGCTGGACAAGACTGACAGTGTACTGGAACCGAATGGGTAGTGAGACCTTTCTTGATGTTATTTAAATGTTCCATGATTCTGACTTTTAGAGGTCTTCTAGTCCATCCAACGTATTGCTTACCGCACAGACACTGCAGTAAATACACCACAAAGCCACAAAGTCTGTGCGGCAGCCAATACGGAAACTGATTAGAAAACTTTCCTTAGTAATTTAACTCTGAGCTGACCAAAGAAACTGTTTTGCATGCCATACAACTAGTGCAACCCTTAATAATATTGGTCGGAGGACTCTTCTTAATTGGTTTAATATAGCTTGGTGCTAACATGTTTTTTACATTTTTATTTTTTCTGTAGATCATTATGGGTTTATTGGGTAGTGATTATCCAATCACAGGGTCACTCTGAAGTATAGACCAATGTTTTTGCAGTACTTTTTTTATCTCATTATGATGAGTATTAAATCTCGTTTTGAAAGCATAATTAAAAGGGACCTTTCTCTTAGATTTATTAGTATCCTTAAGGAGTTCTTCTCTTTTACGAGTACTGATAACCCTCATCTCTTTCTCAATATTATTCTTATTGTATCCCCGTTGGATCCATTTCTGTTTAATATGTTCAGCCTGAGTAGTGAAGTCTTGTGTCTTGGAGCAATTACGTTTTACCCTAGTGAGTTCGCTCCTCGCTATCCCCCTAAGCCACGGTTTGTGGTGGCAGCTCGTTTTGTGCACATAGCTATTACCATCCATTGGTTTGAAATAGCATTTGGTGTGGATTCCATCTATTTCACTGGTAATAGTAATATCTAAGAAATTTATGGATTTCTTGTCCCATACTGGGGTGAATTTTAAATTGAAACTATTGTCATTTAAATATCCTGTGAAGTTTCTAAAGGTTGCCTCATCACCACTCCAAATAATAATCACATCATCAATATAACGCCGCCAGAGCACCAGGGATGCCCTCCAGCCATGGCCAGACCACACAAAGCAGTCCTCCCATCTCCTCATATATGTGATGGCATAGCTGGGGGCAAACCTGGTGCCCATGGTGTTCACCCTAACCTGTAAATAAAACAAACCCTGAAAAAATAATTCTGCTCCAAAATAAATTGAACTCCTGCCTTAATGAACTCTTTCAAATTCTTAGAAATCCTAACGTCCTGATCCATATGGCAGCCCCTAATCCCAATTTGTGACCAATAACTGTATATAAGGACGTTACGTCCAAAGTAGCCCAACTGTATTCCTCACGCCACTCTACATTTTCTAATTCTTGTAAAAGAGATTTCGGATCCTTTACATAAGATAAGTCTTCCTGTGCATATTTTTGTAAATATGAATCAATAAAAGCTGAAAGGTTCGCCGTAATTGTATTGATGCCACTAATTATCGGGCGCCCTGGGGGAAAAATAAATTTTTATGTAATTTAGGTAACAAGTAAAAAATAGGGATAGTGGGATTTTTTTCAAAAGAGAAAATCAAAGTTTTTTGAGAGATCACCTGATCGTCAACCACTTTAGCTAACAGTTTCTTCAAAATATCATTAAATGGCTTGGTCGGATCTTTTGTACGTTTTTTTATAAGTAACTCGGTCATTTAGGATATTTAAAGATTCTTGTAAATAATATTCTCTACTCATAATTACAATAACCTCCCCTTTATCCGCTTCTTTAAAGATGATGTCATCTCTTTCCATCATCATTTTTAGGCAGGTTCTTTTTTGGGGTTAGATTATCCCTTCTTCTTTTCTTATTAATAGCTTCTTAATCTTTTTCCACCATTGTTTCAAATGTTTCTAAATAAGGTCCTTTATTGATCCCTGAGGAAGTTCTAATTTTATAGAACGAAACGCGTAGAACCAGTGGCTCTTCTATAAATAAATACGTTTATATTTTTTTATACCATTATTCCTGCTCCTTTCTGGTTCCTGAGTTCGGTGGATCCATACTTTACCCCCCTAAAGGATTTGGGGTGGCACCCTGAAGGCGCTTTGACTACCTTCACTCTGTGAGTGTCCATTTATGCTCAAAAATAAAGTTTAAAAAGTAGCAATTTTGGCACTGTATTATAACCCACACTAATCTAAGGCAGTCCAAGATATGTATCTCTGAGTTCTGCCAGAGATTAAGCCCTCTGAACTCCTGAACTGCATGGAGGCAATGTGTGACTTATTCCGTGTCCCCATTCATGCAGTATAGGAATACATACATCAAATAAACTATGCTGCATTTCTAACCATATCCTGTAGAGAGATGGTAAACAATGTCTGTTATTCATATTATTTAGCTAGGGACTTCCATGGACTTTTAACCTCTTCCTGTCCATAGCTACTATATATGGGATCTGTGAACCGTGACACAAACACTCTAATTATCCTGGAGACAAGCCGGACATTCCTATAGCTACAGTCTAAAAACGCTGGTAGCATTAATTAACATATAATTTGTATATTTAACAATCAGCATGTGTTACAGGCATTGCTCCTTCCTGGAATTACAAACAATTAGCCACTGTGCCAACTAAATGCTGGAGTAATGTTTTATGTTTTGCCATAACCCAAGTACATCAATCAGACTGAGCTCCTGTGTAATAATGCTTTAACACACCTCTTACTGAATGTACGCCAACGAAACAATGTTTAACAAATAGAAACACATGTATTTATTACTGGCATTTATAAAGCACCAACATATTCTGCAGCGCTGTACAACTGGGAAAAAGACAAACACAATAAGAACAGAGCAATACAACAGGTAAAGGGCCCGATGTGATTGTTTAATAAATGCACCAACAATCTACTGTGAATTTATCCATTTAACCCCTTCACTACAAAGTGCTTTACATTGAAAAAAAATAATTTAACCTTTATATATATATATAAACAAAATAGACACTCATGAAGTCTCAATTAAGTCATAATGGGAGCTGAAGACCCGTGGCACCTATTACCATTTTTTGGTTTAGCCCTAAAGTTGTCCCATGGCACCCTTATGCAGTGCCTCCTCTATCCTTCATCTGGGCTGTCACTCTGATAAAGGTTTGCCTTAGGCACCAGTGATAGGCTGCTATCACCATTGCAAATAATATCACCAATTACTGGAGTCCTACCAGAAAAGAGATTGCTGTTTGTATGAAACATTGATACTTCTATGGGGAAAAATCCTAATACAAGCACGGTTATTGCTGCACACACATTAGGTCTCCACTGCCGGCTGATGTCAGCGGGGGACGAGCGTAGGCAGACCCGAGCCAGCGCAGAGGGACATTGGTGCTGGACTCCGGTAAGTGACAGAAGGGGTTTTTAGGGGGGAGGAGGACACTATATAGAGAGCTATAGTGCCAGGAAAACAGCTTTGTTTCCTGGCACTATAGTTTCCCTCTAAATTTCCCTTTTAGATTTTCTGATGCCGGGTGATGGAGCCAGTTTGTCATGTGATCGTAAAGAGTAAAGTAAAATCAGATGTCACCTGACACCACCTCATGACTTGATATTTCTGAACGTACCCCTACTCTTCCATTATCTAGATTCTAAAGGCATGGGATATCTCCAAGTCTAACCATTTATAAAGAGATAGTTGAGACTCTCTAAGAGCTTGTGTAGAAGCTGTGAACATGTTGGCTGTGAGCATTAATGACAAAATATCAATGG